GGAGGAACTGAGGCCATTAGCAGTGCCGTTTTGGCCCATAGTATCGGCAATGGGCACCAAGCTGATCTAAAGCTTGCCCCATGCGAAGTTCAAGGGACGGTGACTCCTTTAACCAAATACTCCATGCCTCATGATCCCCTCCGGAGTTATAGTGGATTATTATTTTGACACTTCAAACTCGGTGAGTCCACAAGCTTGTAGTGACTCGTTGTTAAACGATTTTACTGAATTGGTTTCCATTGCATTTTTCACACTTCTCTTATTTTCGCACTGATCACCCTACGGGATTTGTCAAGCTTTAGCTTTTATACCCGCATAAATCCATTGTTCCATTGTTCAGGATAATTTACAGGGTCCCCCAGCATCACGCAAGATGCTTGCGCCTCCGTGCGCTCGCGACAGCTGAATCGATTTGTATCCGGTTGTTTCAACCTTCTTTATGCCCCTTCTTTATGGTGTCCGCGAATCGTCTGCGCAACGACTCAAGTGGAGTGCGCATACTACCCGAAATCCCGTGGAAAGAACGTTCAGGGGATCCCGCCAACAAAGAAAGGTACAGAATAAGTCAAGATAAGAAAACAGTGATTGCTCACGGTGTTCCTGAGCTTACTGACTCCACTTTCGACGATGCCTAGATGCACGACCGCGACCAATGGCACTACATCCGGGAGGTTCTTTCTCTCGAAAATGTGGTGGTCACCTCGTTGACAAGAATCCCCATATCACCAAACTATAAAGGATGCGGTCCCAGGCTCTTAAAAATTGTGTTACAGTCAGAACAAATGGCACAAACCCTACTAGCGAACTGGATTAAATTCCGTTACAGATTGCCAACGGAAATTCGTCTGAAAGCAGCAAGAACACCAACACCTTTTACTGACAATTCAGTAGAGGCACAACTCTTAGTGAAAACGCCAGCTGCAGTACCCGACTCGGGGACGGTTTCAAGAGTAGCCATACTATCCGGAGGGTCATAGCAGAGCACGAGCAAACACCGGGATTTGGGGCATCTGATACCTGCTTATTTATCAAATACTTCTCGAGAGTAGGCAACCCATCCAAAAAATAATTAGCCGCCGACCCTTTAATGGTCAGCGTAAACTCATTTGCTTCATCCACCCCTCCAGCCGCCGGCCACTCACTGGTCGGCGAAACTTCACGTATGAGTTGTACAACTTCTGAAACATTGATTAAATCTGAGAAACTTTCATGTATGTACACCAAGGTCCAAGGGCTCCTCAGTAAAATTAACGAACTTCGACTACGTCAGGTTGCGAATGCTTGGGACCTAATTTCTATTACCGAAACTTGGTTGCATCAAGAGGTGAATGATGCTGAGGTTGAGATAGCCGGAATGTCACTCATCCGGAACGACCGCCCCAGCAGAGAAGGTGGGGTCCTACTCTACTACCGCAGCGATCTACAATGTACAATAGTTGATGATCTGGAAACACACGTTACCGATTCACTCTGGTGCCGTCTCCGACTAAGACACAACGACACATGTCTCATAGCTATCGTTTACCGCCCCCCAACGTCCACTCTGGAAATGGATTCCTGCTTGATCCGTGGCCTAAACAGAGTAACACGCACTAAGTACAGCCACACTCTCATCTCCGGGGACTTCAATCTACACAATCTAGAGGCTTCGGCATCGCCCAGTGAGCAGTTCAAAGCAGACTTGCATGAACTGATCGCTAATATTCCTTTGTACAATCATGTCACCACACCCACTAGATTCAGGACAATAAACAAACAGTCCATTTTGGACCTTGTGCTCACGAATGAAGAGGTCATGATTGACAAGTTATTGATGGATAGTCCATCAGGTCTCAGTGACCACGTAGTAATAACTTTTGACTATGTGTGTTATGCAGAGTATCCATCTGAACACTCGGAACTAACTCATACAATCACACGCTACCACGTATTGAAAGAACTCGTCGACGCAGCTTCCTGGGAATTCTCAAACAAAAGTCCCCTTGAAAACGTTTGGGCAGAGTTCGTTAATAAACTCAGCGACATCGTCAACAAAGCATCAGAGACCAAACCCCTTCGTCCCGCGAAAATGCCTTCAAGTATAAGGAGTAGGACTCGCAAATGCCTGGCGATAAAGGATGCAGCATGGCGTGCCTACAAGATTAACCCCGACTCAGAGACTTGGGGAAATTTTCTGACCCATCGCAACCATTGCAACGCACTTGTCCGTGAGGACAAAATAAGTTATCAACAGTGCCTAGCCAAAAAGTTCATGGTAAACAACAAACTGCTGTATAAGCATGTCAATAAGCTTCGTAAAGTGAAGCATGGAATACCCCCACTATTCACGACAAGCGGTAGAGTACAAAGCGTCGAAGAAGCAGCTAATGCCCTGCGGCTGCAATAGGCCCTAATTTTTGAACTCGCAACATCTACCTGTCCCATAATATCAAGCTCATTACCGACACCTTTGTTTACAAATGTTATTTTCAACCCATCAATTGTGCTAAGGAAGTTACTCTCACTGCGTGAACATAGTTCTCTGAGAGCAGACAACATTCGCCCGAAGGTACTGAAGGCTGTGGCCACCAAGCTAGCTGAACCACTGTCACAGTTCTTCCAAAGGTGCTTTGATGAACAACAAGTCCCCACTATGTGGAAGTGTGGCATTATAACCCCTATTTTTAAAGTTGGTAGCCGTTCTGATCCTGCAAACTATCGTCCAGTGACTCTCCTCCCTGTGCTCGCGAAGGTGATGGAAGTAGTCGTCGCTGAGGCTTTAATGGACTACCTGGAAAAATGCAACATCTTGGTACCGGAACAGCATGGCTTTCGTCAACACCGGTCATGCACCACCAACCTACTTATTGCACGAGGTAGTTGGACGGAAGTGGTCGATGATGGGGTCGGAGTTGACGTCATCTCTCTGGACTTCTCCAAAGCTTTCGACCGCCTTGATCACCGCATCCTACTTCAAAGACTACAAAGGTGCGGAAGCGCAGATCCTGTACTTGGTTGGATTGGCAACTTCCTTTACGAACGAAAGCTTCAAGTACGTGTTAGGGGATCACTTTCTAACCCAATTGAGGTGGAATGTGGTGTCCCGCTAGGCTCAGTGCTGGGACCGCGCTTATTCCTGGTGTTTATCAACGACCTGGCAAGAGTCATCTCCTCAAACTTCCTGCTTTTCGCCGATGACGTCAAGATATGACGGGCGATTAGTAACAATGACGATCAAGATCTACTCCAACATGACCTAGATTGCATTTACGAATGGTCAAATAGGAACACGCTTCGATTGAACATGGCAAAGTGCAAAGTGATGCATCTGCGTCACCAGCCGGTGACAGCATACAAGATTGGAGACCACACCTTGGCGAAGGTTTCTCAGGAGCGTGACCTGGGTGTATTGGTACAGGAAGATCTCGTGTGTTCCAAACAAGCAGAGAAGGCGTGGAGAACCGGAAATCAACACTTCGGCCTTCTTCGCAGAGCCTTCGGTCGGTTTGAACCATCAATATTTCCCCAAATGATTGACGCCTACGTGCGACCTCACGTGGAATATGCTATTCAGGCGTGGCAGCCGTGGCAGAAACAGGATCTCGTTGCTCTCGAGACTCCTCAACGACGGGCAACCAAGAATGTCAGGGGCCTCTTTCATCTGCCCTATCAGCTTAGACTGAAATCTAAGAATGTACAGCAGTCGATATCGGCTTTTGCGGGAGGATCTCATAATGGTTTACCAGATTCTGAAGAACCCAAACCACATTTGCCGTCCGCTGCTGGAATTGAACCCCAAAACTAAACTAAGAGGTCACCCTCTGAAACTGATAATTCATTATAGCCGGCTTGAATGCCGTAGAAATTTCTTTTCTCTCCGCATGTGCCAGCCTTGGAATGCCCTCCCTAATTATGTCGTCACTGCTCCTAATCTGGCGACATTTAAAAAACGTGTTGACGATGCATTGTCTCACTTACATTTCATTTTATGACTTGTTAGCCAGGGGCTACAAAACGCAATCAAACGGTTTCTTGCCAAACGCCCAACCATTGGATTTATGAATTTATACGTTTAATATGCGAACATCTCCGCTATTTCACATAAGTCTATGGTGAGTCCATCACAACGCTTTTCACTTTATTATGCAATTGATTTTCGCAATAATTTCCATCCCACGGGACTTGTTAAGCGATGCTTTTTTACCCGTAATAAACCATTGTCCATTGTCCATTGTCCATGCTTTACAGCTTCCCTGGCCAGCTAGAACCAACGATGCTTAGGTCGACTGCCACAAATCAAAATCGGTACCATACCATCGACCCGTCAGGTCAAAGGTCAATTTTAGACCCCTCACTGAAGCGTTAATTAATTAATTAATTATTTATTTAATTATTTAATTAATTAATTTGAGCCAGTGGGTCGATTTCAGTTCTTTATTTTACCCTTAAATATGATTGTAATGACCTGAAGAGGATCATCGAAAACCGTTGTTCACCTATGATCTCGTGTTGGTTTTTTCACTCTAAATGGGAAGTTTCAAGTTACTTTATGAATTAGTTCGATCTTTATAGCTACTAAGTCGCTTGCATCTGTGGATGGAACTGTTGAACGCCATGGAAATAATGAACGTAGGTGACGATTACAGTTAAATATATGAAAAGATTGTGTCTGGTGACCAGTGTAATGTGTGGAAAGATTTAATGTTGTACAGTTTTTTATAACAACGGTAAACAACAAGAAGTTAAATGCTATCACAGCATTTCTATGTCATACTGAACTAGCCGCATTAACCTGATCTGACTTGGAGCTTGCAGTCACCTACAGCTGAGTACGATGTGTGTTTTAAGGATGCACCAAAGCAGGTTCAAATCACATCCTCGAACTGGACCATCCTGCTGCATGTAGCATTTCGATATTATCACCTGAAAGAATTTGATGGTGTGTCAGACTGCAACAGGAGCAAATGCAGCAAATAAAAAGGATGAATTATCAGGTGCAATTTTTAACACGAAACAAAATACTCAGAAACTGCTTCTATTTATGGTATTCTTCTTCACAATGGTGCCACTAAAATCGAAAATGTTTACATTGGCGTTCATTTTGCATGATAAAGCCTGTAGACAATGAAAAGTGCAAGTAGGCAATATCCGTTTTGACTGCACATGCGAGTAAACGCCATCGATAGATTTCGGAACGCAGGCTACACGGCATGGCTGTGGTATTTGTGGACATAAAATCAACATTTCGGATATACTGCTAAGTTGTGGAAGTTGGCATCGATCGTGTATGGGTCGGTTATATGCAAAGGGTGCTCCGTTTCGGCAAAATCGAACACGCCAACGTGGGGAATGTACAGCGAGGCTTAGCCATACGATGTCGAAGGCTGAGACTACTACTGTTTTTGTACGTTTGGCGGCAAAAGAACCCAGTTCTATTGCCGAACTCGTCCAGGATGCATCCTTTTCTGTGATATGAATGCTGGATGGTTTCTTCGATGTCCCATTCCTAAAATGCGGTGTTGCCGTTGAATATGATCTAAGAGATTCCTCTTTCTGCAAGTGTTTAACCGTCTGCACAAGGGCGTTTACTTTGATGAGACAACGTCGAATCTGTGCGGTTCTCTGAAAGAAATTAGAAAACAGAACCATTCATCACCAAAACTGCTATATAAGACATTTGTTAAACCAAAAAGGACTATATATATATGCATATATATATAAGTGATAATGGAATAGCGACATATTGCAAACAGAAGTAATAGTGTGGTAAGTTCCGTAAGAGGGCAGAAGTGAAATTCGCATGCTCATAAATTAACGTAGTCAACAAATCTGGTCACGTACCTTCGAAGTTACCGTGGCATTCACATATGCATAATGGTAGACCAAAACATATAAGACCTATGAAGTGGTTACATTGCTATCATAATGCTTATTTTGTTATCACATTTTAGTCGACCTGAATAACCTATTTACTTGCACACATCGCTAAAGCTAAACGGGCTTAATTTCGTTAACTTGTTGGCGTTTGAGGCATATTTTAATTTCCTTGTCTGATATCGTGAACATATCACGGATTTGTTGTTAACCATTATTTTCCATATGCTCATCTAGCGAAGTGTTATGTCGTCTTTATTTGATATATTTTATTTGATATTGTCATTTCAAGTGATTGGCTGTTGCTTGGCATCCCAGGTTGGCTGCGTTTGAAGTACATGTTGACAAGGTGCCTACTTGTCTACTACCCACTAACTCCTCCATCCTGGATCCAGGAGACAGTTGGTCGTTGCTGGAGGGGACGGGGTGCACGGTCCTTGTGGCCGTGTTAGGCTCGAACAGTAGTTCCATGCATTCAGTGTGGAGCGGACTACGGTCCAGCCACCGCCTTGTGTGCAATTGATTCCCAAAGACAGCGTTTTTGTATTTGCCCATGAAGGAGTGCGGCCCGGGTCCGTTGATAAGAAGTGGTTCGCATCCACATGCCACCCGCTGTTATTCCTTCGGTTTTACACTGGCTTTGGGATGTGTGGTTGTAGCTGTGGGTGGTATCCTGCAAGACATCCGTGATACCTCTGTAGCCACAGGTGTCCTGTGGCTGTCCTACGGAGGCCACAGTGACAGGCAAATCCGGAACCGGATACCGTCAACCATGCAACAGGATGTACAATATGCATAAATTCATTGCAAATGATGGAACGAATGTACGTAACAAGCGAAAAATCACAAACTGTGAGACAGACAAAAACATTTCGCGTTTTTTAATTCGCTAACTCCTTTTCGTCAGTTTTGTGAGTATACTTTTTATCAGTTGAATGAATACATAAATTCATGCAACTCTTCTGTTGTGTCGTATTCCAGGTAATGTTCACAAAGGGATCCAACTATCGGGGCTGTTCATGTTTGGTCCCATACCGGATAAAGCTTGGGATCGACAAGACCTAGATTGGAAGTCAGAGCTCTGACGCTTCGTCGTCACCTGGTAGTTTAGCCACCCCGAGATTGCTTTCACTGGGGCCCGACACGAGCGCATAGCGTGTGCCGTGATAAAAGTTAGCGCATCATGCTTATGACGTGGCCTAATTACCTCAGTTGACTCAGCGGTAGTAGCATGTCCATGGGGAGGCGCGTATTACTTGAGACTTGACATCCAACATCGTCCTTATAAACACGATATTTCAACTACACGCGAGCAATCTTCAGCGGTCAACCGTTGTCGAAGGCAGGAATTCAATGCAAATCATGTACACGGATTGCCAAGGATTAACTTCCGTATAACACGACCGCGAGAACAAAGACATTTTAAACCCTGCTTTTTACCGTGAGTGAAACATTTCCATGAGAAGCGCCGCTTCTTCGCCAACGCAAGCGCGGTTACAAATTGACATCAATTAAATAAGTTTCAGTTGGCGGGGCAGTATACAAGATTGCAGGTTGATTTGATCCACCTAACTCGATTTAGATTATACTCTGGCCTTGCAGACACCTGCATACGCTTTGGTGGTTTCTCGAAACCAAAGCGCTATACGTCAGATACCAACAGGCTAGCTAACCCCTCCATTCAACTAACATATCAATCCACTTGAGATCCATTTCCATATCACAAGCATCACTGGAATTTCTTTCAGATAGTGTTGCTTTCTTCCAGTCAATCATACTGTGGAATCGCTGGGCGTTTTTTGAGAGGCTGAACCACGGCTCGCTCTTCGGAAATGTTTGACCGTCGCTAAGCTAACCCAGCTGATTCAAGTTGCGATGAAATCCTCATTAAACTCAGACAAAAACACAAGCTAAGCCTGCGTAATGAGCGCGAAATTTGTTTGTCTTAGTGCGCTTCAGAGATGGAGACAAAAGCTCACGTTTCGAATCCCAGTTACAAAACACCTGACAAATAACACCTGAAAACCACATGCATGAGCATGACGCCTCCGAACATTTTGATCTGGCCCTCTCGGGTTCAGTCGCTCTCAGACGAGAATATACACATCTTCTCCATATACTTTTCGATTGATAAAATACACGACTCAATCTGCATACATTCGTGCTTCACGGGAGTTGACCGGTATCATATCCTTGGTAGTAAACTGTACTCTTCCAACCCATAGATCATCCACTACATCATGACATAATTGGGTCAACTGCTGTTCAACTGTCGTCTCATAGCACCTGTCGGAACGGATGTCTAGCCAGAAAGTATAAAATGCACATCCTTCATTTAACAAACAAACACCGTGACGGCATTCTTACCCTAGGTTCAGAGTTAATTGACAACAGGCTTAAGTATAGCCAGTATCCACTCAGACGCTTGCACTAACAAAGGTCAAAAACGGAACATTAACCCTTCTTAATGTCGCAGTAATTCCCTCTATTTTTCACCCCAAGCTTCTGCGTTGAGTAAATACAATGTGAATCAATATCAGCAATCATTTCAGGGTAAAGAATTCTTTTCGGTAACTCTCATTGGACTCAAACATTTACATAACAGTGATTGTGGAGATAGCGTCAACTGGGGCTTGGATTGACTTCTGGACTGTTTGAATGACCAAAATCGATAACTTGAGACAGAGATAGAGGTGGTAGACCAAGTAAACTAAATAAACATGTGTACACGAGGCTCATTAGTACAAGGTAATTAAGTAGGTAGGATGACAGCCAAATAACTAAGTAACGGTGTCCGTTGGCCAAGGTAGTAATATCGGCCGTATAAATCGTTTTTGGACACATAATTCCGGCTTTCGATGGTGAATGTATATAGCCTCGGCGATGGATAAGAGCTGTTTGCGGAATCCTTGGCAGAAGTGTTCAGGTAATGAGTAAATGACTTTGAAGTCATTCTCTGAAGCTGTATGGCCACATTCAAGGAGGTGCGACATGATAGAGCTGTCTGAAGACCTCATTTCGCCTCTGTAAAACCATGCCGGGATGTGTTCACGAACCCTCTGAGATAGGCGTCTCGTCGTGCGACTCACGTATCGTGCACCACAGGAGCACGAGTACTGATAAATGATCATTGAACGGGTCAACGGCGGTAGTCTATCCTTCAAGGGTTTTGTAAGCAACGGCTTATTGTGAAAAACGATTCTCAGGCGGGCCGCGAAATAAGTTTTCTCGACAGCATCTTTCAGGCGTCTGGATAACATATCAGCTGCAGAATCGCCCTTAAAGGGTATATGTATGAAAAGCTCTTTTTTAGGAGCAATGCTCCTAGGTGGCTTTCGATTACGTTCCTTCAAATGTTTCATGATAAATTTATCCGGATAGCCATTTTCCCTGAGGGCGTCGCTGATTCTCTGTAGTTCTTCGTTGACGGTATCCGGTGTACAAATACTGCGCGCCCTGAAGGCGAGAGATCTGATCAAACTCCGCTTATGCTGTAGTGGTACTGCGCTGTGGAAGTTAGTGTACTGCCCAGTCCATGTGTGCTTTCTGTGTACCTTTCTGCTGCATGATCCGTCTGAGATACGGATAACTTCTACATCCAAGAAAGGTAACCGGTTTCCGAGTTCGTGTTCACAAGTGAAATGGAGATTCTTGTGTGCGTCATTGAAAGCTTTCAGCAACTGTTCCGCATGCTTTTCGGATTTGCAAAGTACGAAGGTGTCATCCACATACCGTACGTACATTTCGGTTTCACGTATGTGCGTTGCAAGTGGGCCATGTTCCAATTTCGCCATGAATATATCAGCCAGCAGCGGCCCCAAACGAGATCCCATGGCCACTCCGTCAATCTGACGGTACATTTCACCATTGAAAGTGAACTGAACATTTAACGTGCAACGAAGTAACACCTCCTTTAGCAAAGTCTCCGGAAAAGTTGTGTATATGGGCAGTTGCCGAGCAAGCTCGCATACGTAATCCACGGTTTCGAGCAATGGAATGTTTGTGAACAACGACTGGGCATCGAATGATATCATCCTTTTGTTAACAAGGTTGCTTTCAGATATCCTCTCAATGAATTCGAACGTGTCTCTCACGCAGTAAGTACAAACCAAATTCCGTAACGGCTGCAGCTTCGCCACCATCCACTGGGCCAACAAATGCTGAGGAGAACCCACCATGTCCAAGATTGGGCGCATTGGGGCGCCTTCCTTGTGAACTTTAGGTAGGCCATATAATCTCGGTAGGTGTCCACCTGAAGGCTTCAGCTTTTCGAATTCCTTCTTCGTGATAAGTTTAGCTTGCATCATTCCTGCGCGAGAGTCATGCACTGAAAGTTGTTCGCTTAACTTTCCGCATTCGTATTTTTGCAGTAGTCCTCACATCAAAGCTACACCGAAACCTTTTTTGAGGTATACTGTTTAGTATACCTTATCACTCTCACCTTTCATGTGTCCCCTAATTAATCCTTCGTAATTACCATCTTTCTGGAAGGAATTTGATTCCACTGGTGGGTCTACCGCTGAGTAATGGCTTAGTTTTGGAGCAACCAGGCAGGTAAAAACTAGATGAGAAGATATATATAGCTGAGTATAAATTGCGTAGTGAAGCAAATGGTACCAATAAAAATCAAGGCTCAGCCATCCAACCATCACAAAACCCACACAAACACTGTATGGCCGTTTCATCCTTTCATGCATCATCAGCCGTGCGCATTCCAATTGATTCCTGGACGTCTCAGACCTGCAACT